TTGAATTGTGGAGCAATAAATTATCTGATGATAGATTACCCTCCATCGCAGATCAGTTGATATGGTTTCCATGATCAGTTCCCAAGTGAAAATGGCATATTGATGGTCTTGTCAAAACCTGATTTATATCTTTCATGATCAGTTCCCGAGTTTGGTTTTCGCCATGACTGCCATTGATAGATATGTAATACGCCTGGTTAGCCTGGTTACCAAGCCGTCGAGTGATGTCGGTCGAGTGCCGAAGATCGACCGAAACTGGAAATCCCGAGAGTTCGCACTATTTTGAAATCAGGTGTAATTCAAAGGTATTCTTTAAACATTAAAGAAGTCAAGCCGGGTTGTGTAGACAGCAAAAATAATGGCAAAATATTTCTTCCTCTTTTGATAAAATTAAGTTTCTTTGATACCGCAAAACAAAGGCGCCACAAAGATATCGAATTTTTGAACCCTTCGGCAATACTTTCAGTACTGATTCTACATGAAGTAAATAGTTGAATGGTAAAATATTTCTTGATTTGAGTGATGCGTCTCTATGTTGTGAAGGTTTATACTTCCAATATGCTAATAAGTGCGACGTCTATTAAGGCTTAATTAAATATACAAAATCGATCTGGTTCATACAAACAGTATTTAAAAAGCATCATTATTTTATTCATGGTTCACATGAAAGCTGTTTTGAATTTGCATTTTCAAAATGGCCAGCATTTAGTATTACTAGTTACAACAAAAACACTCAAATACCTTACCTGACGTCACCATCATTAACATATTGGAAGTATAAAGCTTCATAACTTAAAGACGCATCACTCAAATCGAGAAATATTTTACCAATCGACTATTTACTTTATGCAGAACCAGTATTGAAAGTATTGTCGAAGGGTTCATCTGCACTTTAAAGCATGCTGAGTTTTTATATTGATTCTGAAATTGAAAAAAAGAAAAAAAAAAAATTCGAACGAATATCTCTTGTTTTTACAAGATAACTACTTTATCTTGGTGCTTCAAGTGAGGGAGTCAACTTCAGCAGGGAATTGAAAGCCCTTAAAAACAAAATTCATTAAAGAAAAGAACACTAACTCGCATTTGACATTCCTAGTCTATTTGAATAGCAAATAGGAAGTGTACTGAAATATTTCTATACAACAGACAAACACACGCTGGTTAATAACTCCTAGTTTATCGAAACTGAAAAAGTCCTAAAAAAAACTTTTAAAAATGTTTTGAACTTTCAGGGAATATTATTAAAGTGCCTATCACCCTTCTGACAATATTCTCAGAATTGATTCTACATGGGGTAAGATGTTGAATAATCCTGAAAAAATTCATAGTATTCATGTGAGTGCAGCTTCTTGAAGTTATAAGGGTTTTTCCATGCCATATGTTAATGCTGTAACGTAAGAGGAGTAATCATTTAATACACAAAACATTACTGGCACAGATAAATTAAATTTGAAATACGTCATTGTTTTCCCCATTGCTCTTAGAAAAAATATTCCAGGTTTGTTTTCACGTAGTAGCCGGTGTTTCGAATTACAAGGAACAACAAATAACCATAAATGCCTCCTCATACGTCACGGCATTAGCATATGGCATGGAAAAAACCTTATAACTTCAAGAAGCCGCACTCAAACTATGAATTTTTTTCCGGGTCATTCAACTTCTTACCCCATTTAGAATCAATACTGTGAATATTGTCAGAAGGCTGATAGGCACTTTTAGNTATATTTTAATTTTCAGAGGAAGGTTTTGAGATTAATTTTAGAATTTAGGAAAATTGGAGAAGGTCGAATTTCATGTCAAAAAATAGATATAATTTGAATAGCATGTGGCATGGAAAAACCCTTATAACTTCAAGAAACCGCACTCAAACTATGAATTTTTTCCCGGGTCATTCAGCTTCTTACCCCATTTAGAATCAATACTGTGAATATTGTCAGAAGGCTGATAGGCACTTTTAGGAACATTAACTTTCTAGAACTTTTTAGCACTGTCCGGGTGTTGTTATTCGTCATGAAAAATGATGAAGCGGTGGAAATGTTTTACCGCTAATAAAAAAAGTACATTAAGGAAATTCAAGCTGGTAAGTTTATTTAGTACCAAGAAAGGATGCTAAGTGCATTCAAATATTTCGTTAAGTTGTATCAAATAATGAGCTTTATAGATATTAATTAACACATGCTGAACGCGAGTTAATGAAGTTGGCGGAAAATTCCWGCAACGCCAAAAATTTCTCAGTCATCTATTAAACGCTTAGTTTTCCAAAGGTTTTGAAAAATACTGGAAGGCTTTTTTTTATTTCCTCTTTTTTTCCCTCAGAGTGTCTATAGTTTTATTCTTAAAATTAATTATTGTCTACTTTTTTGTGTCGATATATTCGTTACGAAGTGTAGCAAAGAATCATGTCTTAAATAATGCGTTCCAAAATGGCATTAAAAGAAATTAGTAATGATAACCGGATAAATGTCTGCAAGGTAAAATAAATGTCCCCTGATGCCCGAGTGCCCCCTCTCCTCAACAAATTTTAATAGCTCATCGCTATAGAGAACRATTCTCGACTTTCACATCCTCATAATCCTTTGCGTCTTTGGGGGGTAACCAGAGGGTAAAAACCCACTTATTTTGCTGAAGGCTGATCAGACAATGTTGAAAATACCTTGTTTGGTATCCAAAGATAAAATGAAGAAGTAAAAAACAGAAAAAGATAGAAGCTTGAAGACGTTTAAGGTAAGATTTTAAACATTTTTTCGTAAGTCAATACATTTTCTGTAAGACCAAAACTCTTCATGATCTGTACACGCAAAAATAACTTGGAATAAACTGATAATCAGTATTGTACAGATAAAAGCAGGTATAGTATAAATTCAATTAAGAAACCTTTCAATTTGGGACAGTTCTTTGATTGGTTACCCCCCAAAGACGCAAGGCATTATGGGGATGTGAAAGTAGAAAATAGAACAAATTTCAACTTGCTGATTATAATTTTTTTGTACGCGCACCCCCTCCCCCCAGAGAGCCTATGAAGAGTACTAGGAGAGGAGTGGGTGAGTGGAAAGTTTGACGCACGGCACCAGGAACACAATAATTCACACGAAAGAAACGTCACGATATACATCACGATATGTTAAGATAATCTGTTGGAATACAACATCACCAGTATTTTTTAAACCGCATAGAATTTCATAAACTTTAAGGAAAAATTGAAATCGTACGTRGTATTTTTAATTTGTTATGTCTCGTCGTAAGTTACTATCTAAAGAATCGGATCTTTTCCATCGATCTTATCTTCAAAGGCCAGTTAGTTTTGGCGAAAATTAAAACTTTTTCTTTTGAAGCTATAAATTGAAGCACTTTTCCCCTCTTTTCCTTTCCTTTTTTTTTTTTGTTTTTTTTGTTTTTTGTTTTTTTTTTTGCTTTTTGTTTGTTTTTTGTTGTTGTTGTTGCAAGCAGACGTATTTTTATCAAACGAGATAAGATTAATGTTGAATACTTAATGCCCTTAAATAAATCAATTTTATTAAAAATGGATAAGACTWCAGCGGGCACGCAAAGCTTCCTATCTCGGCTGCCTCGCTCAAATACATCCATGACAGTGATCTATCAACTACACTACTCTAAAATGTTRTTTGAATAGCATAACCAAGAAGACTTTCTATAATCCCCTAAGCTTATAATCACATAAGCATGTAATCTCTTAAGCTCGTAGACTAAATCGATTCCAAAATGTTTTGACTGGCGTGAGTTTTTGAGTTTTGTAAATGGTTAGATGGTTGTTTAGGAAAACAATTAATAAAGAGCGTGAAAACTCCTTGAAAGTATTGCCGGTTGTGTAGGGAAATTGTTCAAGGGTGTCTTAGTGAATGGGATTTCGTGAAATTTTGAAAAATTCAAATGCAAAGCACCGACAGACAAAGGCAATCCCTAACCAACTGGTAACAAAACTGACTTTATTCCAAAAACGCATGGAAAAAACTACCAAAAAAAATTGCTAAAAACCACGAGTTAATAGAATATTGCATGTATCTTCATTATGCAATGTACATTTTGATTCCTAAAAACGAACAGGAGAAGCGTTGGGAAAATTGTGGGATAATATTCAAGGTTATTTTGAGGTAAATATAATCGTTCTCACCTGAAGAAGGCTCGAGACAAGACTAGAGCTACTGGAGTCTTCAGTACCGAGAACAGCAACGATAGGAGAAGTTAAGTTAAGCTGGATCGTGTCGTTCAAGGACGATGATGACCTTACCGTGGCCTGGTTTTGGAAYAGCAAATCGTTAAGGAAGTTATTCGTGCCCATCTGATGCGCCCAATTAACAGCAAGGACTGGAGTATCGCAATAATCCCATACTTCGATACCAAGGTGAATTCCTGGAAGAATACTGGCGTCTGCRTTAATCTGGGATATAGTGTACGAAATAGCTTCGATGTACCCAAGACCAAAGGAGTAGAACTCACCACATGAGTCGATTGAGGCTTGTAGATGAACGGGTAGCAGAATACCAAGCGTGATATTACCTTGTTGACTGAATCTCTCCTGGGCTTGGCAAGCATAGAACGCCGCCAAAAACAAGGCCACACCAAATCCAATGTGTTTCATAGTGAAATCGTWAGGGCTTTCCGGGCGCTTTTCCTCTAAACACTGGCTATTTATACAACACACCTGCTTTAAACTACCCGATACGCCGGCGGAGTCGCACGAACGCCTGACCAATGGTTCAAATGAATGGAGAAATAATCTGAACCAATCATGTCCTGTCTTGTAATTAGCGATTCTGATGCGTCCCCCCTCGCCTCAATACCATTCAATTCTTCCAAAATATACGCCGGTATCATTAGTCAATTAGAGGATTTTAACTCTTAACTCGAACAAAAATCGAAAAACACACAGGTAACATTAACTGGGYACGAAAAGCAGATTGACATGTAGTGAATGACTAGCCAGGACGGGAAAACAGATGTATTTCGCATTTACGAATTAAACATGTCAAAATAGTAACCCTTAGAGTGACATTTTATAGGAGTGCCGACAAAATGAACAAACAACTTTTATTTTTTCTTTAAAGGAAGGGCTTCTTCCAAAGGACAGCATTGATAAAATGTCTGGAAATTTTTCAATTTTTTTCAGTGGTATTGAATCCCCAACGGGTTGTCATTTCTCGATTTACTTTCTCAAAAAAGGACAGGAAGAAAAGGTGTTTATGTTGATTGTTAACTTAATTGCTGACCTGTCACATATTACACTGTTTTTTTAGTTTTTGTATTTAATTTSATTACGTGTTTGCGGAGACAAGAGAAGAAAGATTTGAAATCAAGAAAGATAACGAAAATCTAAAACACCGAGAAGTGAAGACGTAGAAAAGTCGTTGGTCGTGAAATGAGGAAGAAATGAAGAGCAGAACGATAGTTTGGTTCGAATCTAAGATGAAGCTATCTTTTAACGTCTTAATTAATTAATGGTTCCTAATGAAGCTTTTAAAGTAAATTTTGGTAAGAAAAATGCCTTTCCTAACACTCTCTCGCAAACAAATGAGAGAGGAAAAAAGAGGAAAAAACAACAACAGTTCATCATGAGATTTAATAGCTATCCTCAGCACCAACCGCGTTGCTATCCAAAAAACCTAAAACAATAACTGGAAAAAAAGAAGAAAAAAAACAGCATTAGATTGATCCGCAGTACAAATTCTCATGCTGTGATATTTTTTGAAGAAACTAAATTCGAGCGGCAAAGCAAATTTTTAATGGCAAAGTATAAGTTTATTGAAGAACAGAAAGATTTGTTTTGTTTTGACTTCGGAATTAAGTTGTCATTTTTCGCCCGTCAATCTGTGAAACGGAAATACGATAATGCAAATAGGAAAGAAGAAAACCATATGGCAACGTTGAACGTTTCTTTTTTTTCCGGGAGAAAAATAGACTTAAGTTGCAAGAGTATGATTAGATTAAAGACTGTTGACGACTTGTCACTGTAACCTTGTCTCACAAGGTGAATAAAGTTAAAAAGAGAAAGTTTGAATTGATCATTAAGAARAGCGTGGTTCTCAAACAAGATGATTTTTATGTCGAAGTTTAGTAAACAGAATTTCAATGAATTCTAACCGAGCGATCGATGAGATGACACTTTGGATATTATGAGTAATTTTATGTCGCACATAGCGAAAGCACATTGCAAAGAAGAAGATGAAAAAGGGTGTATTTGACTACGCCTGACAAGAGAAAAGAACTGGAGTGGTTCGATTTTGCATTAAAAGAGCTTTCGAAACAGGAAATTTTCGGAAAATTTGAAAATAGGAATGAAATAATTTGATTCGAATTTGATCATAATGCCATTTTGAATTTGCTTGTAATACAAAAATTAAATTAAATCATAATAATAATAATAATAACGATAAGGATAATAATAACGATAAGGATAATGATAACGATAAGGATAATGATAACGATAAGATAGAATAGAATAGAATAC